ATTGAGACCCTGTCCCCATAAATAAATAAATGAATTTTAAAATTTTTAGAACATTTGACAAACTTTGAAATTTACAATGGGAAGAAACATTAGTACCTAAAATAAGAATATGCATATGCTAAAATAAACCTATCCTCCTGTAAAAAAGGAGAACATAAGAGGATATTTTAGATTTTTCACATCAAAAATAGCATAAACAAGACAGTGTGTGCAGTAAGATGGATCACAAATATATCTTCGTACATAGTATGGTTTCTAATTTCTGTTGCAAAGCCTAAATGATGTGAAATTACCTTAGTGCAGAGCTATGAGAACCACGAAGAGACACCATTTCACACCGACCAGGAGACCTGCACATTTAACGCCCCATAACAAGCATTGCCGTTGGGAATGGAAACTGGTGTCGCCATTGTGGGAAATGGTTGGGAAGCTCTTCCAGAGTTCAACACAGTGCTGCTGCATGATGCACCAGCTCCAATCCTAGGTGTAAAGTGGAAAAAATTGTACAGAAAGACTCAAACAGGAACTCACTCATCAGTGTTCAGATTCGCACCCTTCTCAGCACTATCCTCACAGTGGAAGGTAGAAACAATCCAACCGTCCACGCATCAGTGAACAGTAAACAAAATGTCGTGGAATATTATTCAGCCGTGCAAACGAAAGAAATTCTGATGCATGCTGAACACAGATGAATGCTAAAAACAGGACACTAAGTAGGCTGGATACAAAAGGACAGGTTGTACAGAATTCCAAATGAAATACCTGGAATAGGCAAATTCACAGGGACAAAAAGTAGCATGGTGGAGGGACGGGAGAAAAAGAACTTGTTTCCTAGTGAATACTTTCTGTTTGGAATTATTAACAGGCCCTGGGAATGGTGGTGGTTGCACTGCACTGAGAATATGCTGAATGCTGCTGAACTCTTCATTTAAAAGTGGTCAAAGGGGTAATTTGTATGATATTTCTCTTTTACCATGATAAATCGTGAAACAAAACCGAAAAAGCTGTGTCTCATCTGTGTTTGGAAGAGAAAGAGCTTTCAGTTGTTCACTCTGTGGGTTTTGTTTTATTTGGTGCTCTTTCTCTAAGCCCTGTTTGCCAGCGCTGCGAGGTAGGTGAGAAGTGGCCGAGAACAGTGGACGCTGGGCACTGAGGCCCCGCGATGGCCCTGCTGCGCGGGCAGAGCCCCAGCTCGGGGACTGCATTCCAGCTGCTCCACCCTCTGGAGTGCGCAGCGTGGGAGTTTTCTTGGCCCCCAAAGTTCGTCCTGGGCCAGCCGCTGTCTGTGAAGATGTTGTTTTAGGATTTCTTCCACGCCTATCAAATGTTTATTTCCCTTCCTGTATACTTCACAGCGCAGCACAGAGATTCTGATTCAGCAGTTAAAATAGCCTGGGCATCAGTCACCACCTCCTCCTGACCCACTTTGTACACAGTTACGCGTCCCCGAATTGAAAGTTCAGGTTTCCACATTTTTCCCCCCAAGACTAAGTTATGTGTCCAAGGGAAAAAAAAAAGAAAGGGAAAAATTCTGAGTCTCTGTGGGTTGCTGTAGAAGGACCCCAGGGCCTCCAAAGTCCCACTTTTCCCACCACCTGCATGCGTTGTGTGTGTGTGTGTGTGTGTGCACATGTGTGTGTACTGGAAATGACAAATATTCTATGTCCCCAACACACCCTGTCACCTGCCATTTTTTTGTTGTTATTTTGTTTTTGTTTTACATTGCTCAGACTGGGCTTGAACCCTCTGCGATCCTCCTGCCTCAGCCTCTCAACCATCTAGCCCCAGCCTGCCCCCATCCTGTCCGTGGATTCCTTCCTCAGCAATCCCACTGTGACTCCCTACACCTCCAGCTGCCTAGCGCCACCTCGATGGGAACTCAAAGCAGCAGGAGACAAGGGCCCAGCTGAGGACCCTTACACATCGGACACTTCTCTCCCTCCAATCTGTGCTCCAGAGAATGCGCAGAGGAACATCTGATTCCGCCCCAAGGTGAGGGCAAGACTGGGGGTCTCCATCCTCCCTCCCCTGGCACAGGGGTCCACACAACCCCAGAGGATCCAGCCTGTGTGCTAGAGAGACCTCAGCTTCTCCAGTATCAGTGACTGACGATGGGACCTGCTTTGGAGGGTGGGGGTAAGAGCCAAGTGAGCCCTTGTATGCATGATTAACATCCCCAAGTGTGGCTGACTTTATGTTTATCCTAGGTGTTTCTTTTTTTTTTTTTTTTTTTTTTTTTTTTTTTTTTTTTGAGACAAGTTCTCACTATGCAGTTCAGGCTGGCCTCGAGTTCACTTTGTAGCCCACACTGGTCTCAAACTTGTAACTATCCTCCTGCCTCAGTCTCCTGAGTGCTGGGATAACAGACGTGTGCCACCATGCCCAGCTCTATTTTTGGCTTTTCTCAGGGTAGATTCCTCCAAGTGGATTCTTGTGTCTGAGATTGTGAGTGCACCCGTACATGCAATTTCCTTGTGTGTTTCATATGTGTGGCTCGGTGCTGGGGAGATGAGGATGTCATTCAGCTCTATGATGCTGGGCACCTGGAAGATGCGTACCACAGTATTCCCAGCACCATGGTGGAGGGGCAGGACAGACCATGGCTGGGCACCGAGTTCTTTTTGCTGAATTGAAAAATGTCAGCACTGTCTGCGTCTTCTTCCTCTTCCTTTATCTTTTCCTGCCTGTGTTTCCTCTCGCGTCACACACACACACACACACACACACACACACACGCACACACACATACACACACACACACACACACACACACACACACACACGGGCAAGGCATTTGTTCCCATGCCCAGAAACTCCTCTAAGTTAACCTTGCTTTCCAGGAGACCCCACAAATGCATGCCCCAGGGAATGTGGCTCCTGGACCCCAGTGTGAAACTCTTTTTCAGTTTGTAGATCCAACTGCCTGGGTGCTGCCACCTGGCCGGGAAGAAGAGCAGATGGATGGTCTGCAGCAAGGCCACCACTCCAGAAGGACAAGCCTGGAGTCAGAGTGCCGGCGGTGGGGGTCCTGAGAGCTATGGTGACCTCAGATGCTCACGTTAAGGCAACCAAAACGGAAGTGGCAGGCAGGTGGCCAGAGGAGCCCGTGAAAGGGCAGTGCAGCCCTGCTGCCTGAGCTGGCTCGCATTCAAAGGCAGGAAGGGGCAGAGGAGTGAAGTGATGCGCCTTCTGAGGTCTCAGGGCGCATCCTGCAGGAGGAAGCCAAGCTAGGAGGGGGGGGAGCTGCAGGGGCGCGCGCTACCCCCACCCCCACCCCGTGCCTGCCTGCTCCTCTTGGCTCCTGTTTCACACCAGAAGGCCTCGGGTCTGTGCTGTGAGCTCCCAAGCGCTGTGAGCCAATCACTCTGGAAGCAGCTCTCAGCTCTCAGCTCTCAGAGTCGATGCCACGGCAGTGAGGAGTGATTCATTAAAATGTTTTCTGGATGAAAACGTTCCTTTCTTGATTATATTACATAGCTGTATTCCTCTTGACTGCAGAGCTGTTTTTAGGCAAAACCACACCCCATAATAACCCCACTGGCCCATTTTCTTATCATAATTAAATCTGCTTTTTTTTTTTTACAGAAATGTTTTGAGAGGTTCATATTTCTAAAATACAATGGTTATGCTTTGGCTCCCTCCCTCAAATTCCCTTAATTCTAATATGGGCCAGAAAACTCTCCTGAGAGCTCAGAGAAGTCTCTGTCCAAGACAGAATCTAAATGTCACATCAGAATCCAAGTTGAAAGGAACAAAAAGATCTCTGGTTCAAGGAGACAGAGTCAGGGAGAGGGGAGGGCACCCAGGTTGTCTGCAGACATGCACAAAGGCTGCCGCTGTCTTACATTTCTTAGGATGAGGAGGAACAGAATGAGAAGGGAAGGACCCAAGAGAAGAGTCTGGCCTGACCAGATCCCTCTCCATCCACCTCCTCCAGGCTCCCCACGCCCAGCTTCCTCAAGCTCCTGTTATTGCCAGCAAACACCTGAAGGAAATTAAGGGCAGGGACGAGGGGAGAGAAATGCCAGCAGAGGGCTAGCGAGGGGCTACGAGGTTTCCAAAGAGCCCTCATTTGGAAATCCAAACCCAAAGCCCTGTGGCTGGGCCACCAGAACACACAGGGAAGGTCAGCCACCAATCTCAAGGAGGCCTGGTGCCCAAAGGAGGGGAGCACCCAGTGGCCAGGAAGCAGAGCACCCATGGGCCCCTGACTGCCCCTCAGCAGCTCCTGGCCTCCCGCTGTCCTTGTCTCCCTGGGAGACCTCAGCTCACCCTCGGAGAAGGACCCGGTGTGGCCTTCATCAGGGCGGATCTGAGGGGAGAGGCTTAGGTCACACAGAGCCTCCTGCTCCCCAGCAGGGCCTCAGTGGAGGGGGGAGAACCGCCCTCTGCAGAGATGGGCTCTGCTTCTCCAGGAGACTGTGAGGGCTGTCAGGAAAGTAACTGAGAGCTTCCCGCCTCAGGCCGAGAGGACGCTGCGCCCCGGGAGGCCCATGGTTCTCTTTTCTGCTGCCCACCCCAGTGTCCCTCAGGTGCCCCTCCTCCTTCTCCAGCTTCAGTTTGCATCAGTGCTAAGGTGTGCAAGCATCCACCCTGGAGTCTGCATTCATGTACCCCCCACTCACCGGTCATCTTGTCCCCCAGGCACCTCCAGCCCAACCTGTCCTCACCGAACTCTGTGCCGTTCCCCCTACAACACCCTCCACCCATCCCCTCACCCAACCAGAAGCCTTGCCCACCCCCATATCTTGTGAATCCACCAAGCTCCCCAACTTCACTTCCAAACCAACCCAACTACACCAGGGTGCCATGGTCCCCTCTCGCTGGACACATGTGGCAACTCCCTTACGTCTGCGCTGCCTCTGCTCAAAGCCAAACAGGTAATTTTTCTAACAGGTAAATCTTAGTCTTCTCTCAAGCCTCATCCTCTGTTCCCACCCCCACCCCCAAACAGGCCATGACCTAAACTTGGCACCGGGGACCCACAAATCTATTCAGAAATAAATGCTTTAAACAATTACATTAGGAACTGTTTTATAACACACAGAAAGGCACCAAGGACACAACAACACCTATCTAGCCGAGCCCTAACTGCAGAAATAAAGGCCCAGCTGAACAGGGAGGTTCTCTGCAGGCTCTACATCCCCTTCTCTCCTGGAGAAGTAACTGCCATTCCCTAGGGTGCCATTATTCAAAATTCTTTTAATTTACCTAACACGGATTTTTTATTTCATTACAATTCACTTGTCCTTCCTGGCATCTCTCTTGTGGAGTCAATTCCAGTGCTGTCCAGGGATTTCCATGAGACCCATTCTTAGACTCTCCAGTTATCTCTGGTCCCTTCCAGTTCTCCAAGATGGCGGATGGGAAGTCATTACGCAAGCAACGTGTTGTCGTTTGTGACTTTGTGGTGGGGTGGGAGAGTTAAGAGATAAACCTCTGGAGTCCACACCAAGCTTTCTAGACCCTTGCTGATCTCTGTGGCAGGGTGGCTGAGAGATTCTTGGTACTTTGGCTTAACGGGGGCTCAGTAAAATGATTCCCCCAGGCAGACTCAGCCTGGACTGATTCCAGAGATTCTCTGTCAGTCTCTCATCCAGCGCATGGCCTGAGAGACCCATCTAACCTTTGCTATGGACTCACTTTGTCCTTCACCATAATGGGCCCTGAGTAGGGTTCTCTGATTCTCAGCTAAACTATCTTCTGTGACATATGGGAAGCTCTGTAACCAGTCCTTGCCCCACGGAAACCAAAGGGGATTTGGAGAAGCAAACCCCAGCCTTTCCTCTGCCTGGCTGTGCCTATCCTGCCTGTTCTGCAGCCTGAGATCCATCCTTCTCTCCGATTCCCAAGCTGAAGTCGGGCAAACTCCCAAGTCTGGTGTTCATACCAACCCACAGATGTCTTTTTTCTTCTCCCCGCTTCTTACCTCTGTGGTAGGTAGACTCCAAAGAAAGCCCCTGCTAACTCTTCTCTCCATATATGTGCATACTGGGCTTCCCACCAAGAGGCAGAAGCTATTTGTTCTCTCCTGACTCCAGGCTGACCTGTGATCTGCTTTGATTAACAGCAAGCAGGTTGGAAGTCAGAGGAATTAGTGTTTCTGGTACTTCACGACCTGGATCTTAAATTCACTGGCAACACCCTCTTTCTCTCCACAGAAAGCCACCCACCATTTAAAAAGTCAAATATCTTGGGATCACCCTCCTATGAAGAGGCTCAAGCTGTCCACACAGAGTGGCTACTTGGAAGGAGAGATGCCCAGGCGGTCGGCTATTCCTGATATCCCAGCGGGAGGCACCAAATACAGGAGTAAAGTTTTCTTGGGTATTTCCACTCCAACAGACACTACATGAACAGAAGAACCATTCAGCAGCACTCAGCTCAGACTGTAGGATTCTGGGAAATAATGGAAAGTAGTTATTTTGGGTGTGCTTAGTTATGGGGGTAACTTGTACTGTAGCAATAGCTAAATGAAAGACCTCAAATGTGTCTCCCACCACTGCCTACCTTCTGCTTTACGCTCCAACAACTCAGACCTGCACTGGGCCCCCCATGTGTGCTATGCTGGGTCTCACTTTGGTACACTGACTCCAGCTATCAGTTGTTTTCCCACCTCTGGTTTTTGCCTGCTTAACTTCAGTTCCACTTTTGTGTCACTTCTTTTTATTTCCCCTCCCGAGGCATCCACGAACCCCTATGCAAATCACTGTCATTATACTGATGTTGTTAGAATTGTTTCTTTATATAGCTACCTCCCAAACTCAGCTCTGGAGTCTTCACGGGTGGGTACTATGTCTTACTCAGCTTTGAAACATCACTTTATATGGAAACCTAAGTCACTCAAACTTCAGCTCAGTTTCCCCTATCTTAGTGGAGGCAGCATTCATTTGTCTGTCACAGAAACTCAGCCTGCCTGGATTAATGAAACCATGGCTTACAAGTCTTTCACATAATGCTGTGAAGGTGTCCTGGGGAGACGCAGTGGCTTTATGACATCAGCAGCCTCCAGGGTTCCTTCTGTCTTCCTGTGCAGCTCCCTCAGAATATGACTTTCCTCTTTAGTTGTCTCCAGGCCACTTTGCCACCAGGTGCACAGCAAGGAGAAGGGAGGGAACAAAGATGAAAGTGCCAACCTTGGAAAGCAATTCTTTTCCAGAAGTCCCAGAAATTTCCATTGGAGTCTCACTGGCCAGGGCCGCACCCACCACAGAGACATCCACAGTTGCAGGAGAGTCAGCAGCAGTTGCCTGGGAAGCCTACGTAGGCTTGGACCCCAGAAGCAGTGCCTGTGTGCAGCTGGCACTTGGTGGGGGATAAAGACGGGGGATGTTGGCTAGCAACTGGTTATATCTGCCACATGCTCTGCCTATAAAACCAAGACTAGGACTTAGCTTCACAAGTTGATGGAATTAAGACAGAATGTAAGCAAATTTTGTCTTTAGTACCAGAGACTTTGCACTCTGTGAAAGTAATGGCAATTCTTTTGCTTCCAACTTAATTCAAACATCCAAGTTTTCCCTGAAGGGACAGAAAATCTACTGGTAATGATAGTTGTTCCACTCTGTCTGCAATTCTGCAATGAATTTATTTCTTCATTAATGCATCTTCTCAATAGTCTATTCGATGGTCAATAAACCCAAATGGGACTATCATTACGATTCTTCACTTTTACTGTGTGACACAGAGAAAACAAATCCTGGAGAGACACAAAAAGAAAATGAACTGTTTTCATTCCTTTGTGGCTGTAGCGCTGCATATTTCATTTCTGATTCATGGAAAAATATCCAGCACACAGCAGTCAACCAGATCGGTGAAACACCTCATTCCAGAGAGCTTAAGAGTAAAGCCTTAATGCTTTAGTCACTGGGGCCCCAGGGTGCTGACCTGAAGGTGTTACCAGCAGGAAGTCTTTAACTATGAATATGTTCTGTGAATCTGCAGCCCCTCTTACTCACCACAGCTTTGTCTGCACAGCAAATTACTGAAGATTTTTGCATCGCTTAGGATATTTTTTATACAAGTGAAAAGCACAAATAGTGCAAAAAGACATTTTAAATGCCAGATATATGCTTGGAAAACCCCAAGTTCAAGGCCAGTCTGGGTAATTTAGTGAGGCTCTGTCTCAACATAACTGGAGATGGTGCTCCGTAGCACCCCTGAGCACAAACTCTACCACCAGCAAATGAATCAATTAATAATAAAATAATTGAAATTTACTGACTAGAGTGACTAAAATGTTCAATCATACAGTTTTAGACACAACTAGAACAAGTTGCACAAATGAAGCATTGGGGAGTTTTTCAGGGTCTCCACCAACAGAAAGAGGCTGCCTTTTTTTCCAATAATTGCCCCATTAACTCCAGGATTAGTTCAATTTGGGTCACATGACTTCTCCTGAGCCAATCACCTGTCTGAGGAAGCATGATTCTCTTATTGGCCAGTCTGGGTCACATGCTTACTCCTGAACCAATCACTGTGCTAAGGAAGTATAGTGCTCTTATTGGTCAGCCTGTGTATCATGCCTACCTCTGAACCAATCATGTGGTTCTCTTATTGGCCAGTTTGGGTCACACTTACCTGGGAGACTTCAGCAAGACTAACCTCCCTCAGTCCTGCTGGCAATGGAGGAGGGGGATGAAGGGGTAGGGGAGTTCCCCTGCCGGCAGAAGGGCCCCTGAGACTGGCTCTTGAAAGAGCTCCATGATATTATTAGATAGATGCCTTGTCTGATGTAACACCATAGTAGTACAAGTGACACCCTTTTCCATCTGTCAATACCTTACTCATTTTCAGGCTCATTTAAAATGTCACCACAAACAAATCTCCCTAATGAGATTAATTTTCCATCAGCTCGTTGTTTCTTTTTCTCTCACAGCCTGGCTCATGTCTTGCTATGGGTTGGGGTGAGTCACACACCCACTCATCTCCACTCTGGTTTTCAATAAACTTACGACAGAGCCAGAGCTGGGCTCGCCTCCCATTCATCACCGCAGCTGGCTGCTCCTCTGGTGTGAGCAGGCTGGGAACCAGGAGAACACAGGATCCGAGGAGAAAGGAGTCACGTTCCTCCCTTCAGGAAGAATAGCAATCGCAGTGCAAACCGGGATTTCAGAAAATACTGGCTTTTCTTTTTCTCATTGATTTGGGAGCTTTCTTTCTTTACTTTGCGTGGTGAAATGTGGCAGGGAGCTGAGAACAGACCCATGCTAAAATAAATCCTAAGACAGCCGTAGTCTTAGCAATGCCATGCCCTGAATAAATTTCGGAGAGAGAGGAAGAAGACATGGTGAGATGGCCTCCACCTCAGTAAACTAAAATGCAAGAAGCCCAGCTGCCCTTCACACTCCTCAGGGCCAGCACCATGTTAATAAGTTCGGAAGCTTTCCGAGCTGCTCTTACTTTTTTATGAGCCGTCTGTTTCCTCTGCTGTCGTTGGTGGCTCTGTGCCAGGACACTGCCCTTGGGGCAGAAGGAGCAGACTTGTCAAGGTCCTCCCAGTTTCACCCCTGCTCATGGGTACCTGCAGCTTTCCCTTGAATGTTTCCTGTTCAACTCAACAAGTTTTAATTATGTGGACTCTCATCGCCTCACTATTAAACTGTGTTTACCCTTGTCAAAGGCAAACTCCTGAAGACTAGGATTAGGCAAATCCAGGAAAATCTAAACGCTCACACAGACAAGCTCGGGTCTCCCGCCATCTTGTCTTTCCCTCCTGCTTTCTCATGATGGGGACGCTGCTTTTTTGGACATCTATTTCCTGGTCTTCTCATAATTCAGGCCACAAGTTCTTTCTTTTCAGTATCATCCTAAGCAGGAGCTGGAGCAGGATTACATTCTCCCTTTTCTGTGCAGAGATGGTCTCTGCTGGCTTCCTAGAGATGACCAGCTGGGAGGCCCCTCGGGGGGCTGTGGTGGTTCTTCCCTTTCTGTGGCTTCTGACTCATAATTTTGGACCAGAAACTAAGGGCTGTCTGAGAGGAATCTGAGATGTATTGTTTCTCAAGTGCTGTCAAGCACAGCCCATAGTTTGTTCCACTGCCAAGTTTCTCCCTCATAATTCTGACATGTTTGTCCCAAAACACACTCATTTCCCATAACCAAAAGAGTCTGGGGGTGGGGGAGAACCATTAGAACCCATGTGCTATAAAAACAGAAGCTGGTTACTGGAGACTTCATTCATCATGACAGAAGATCCAGTAGTTCCTACTGCGTTTCTCTGGAGTGATTAGAGTCTAATGTGCTCATTTTGAGCTTAAAAATCACTAGAAGCTGCCTTCCAACCCAGGGTTTGGGGGTGCTCCCATGGGGGTGGTATCCTGGGAAAAGAAACAAAATCAAGTCACAAGCAACCAATCAGATGTGAGCCATTTCGTCCACAAAGCAGGCCAAGGGTGGAGTACATAAGCACCCACTTTACCATGGCAGAGTCTGGGTACAAGTTACCAGAAACTGGAACCATATCAGAAGTTCTGAGTACAGCAGATATTTAACAAGGCCAAGCACACGCCCTTCCTCTGCAGCAAACCAGTTTTGTGACGGTGGCGGAATGAAAGGCTTTCGATACACACCGCTCAGATATAAATAACTGCTTGACGACTTCAAACCTCACTTCCTCAAAGCGTAGGTCTTCACTTCCCCAATGCCTGGTCACATACACCTGTTCTCCCCAAAATGGCTCCCTGACTTGTGCTAGGCAGATTATCCTCAGATATCTCTGACATAGAATCCTGCGAGGACAACAGAGTGGTCACTCTCTTCTGTACAGGATCTCTGGCACATGTCTCCAATACATACACCCCAAATCCAGAGAGGCATTCCTGAAATCAAAGAAACTCTGTAACACTTTGTGCTCTTTAATCACAGCCTGTCTGCAGGTATAAACAGTTCTGCTGTAAGACATTCCGTGCAGACAACCCCACGTACCACACAGCACACTCGGGAACACACACACGCACACATATGCACACAGGCAGAGTCATGTGGTGTGACAAAACAGTAGAGAATTCCCTGCTTTGAGAACAAGCACCGGGCAAATCCTTCAAATGTGAAGCTAAGAATGCAAGCGCCAGAACTAGCGATTTCAGGCCACTTTGATTATGTATCTGGAGCCTGGCCAACAGAGCAATTTCCAAGAAAAGCAGCTCACACAGTTGCACATTCAGCGATCCAGCCTCCACCGAGCTCTTTGTTAAGCTGAGCAGGATGTTTCTTCTCCTCACCCTGACATAAGCCATAGCCCTACAACCTGTTAACTAAGTAACAAGACATCTGCGTTCACCAAAGCGTGTGAAGGAGGGGGAGGTGGTGGAGAGAAAAAAGCCCCCAACACACTGCAAGCAAGTGGGGAGCAGGCATGACTGGGCATGGTGCATTTCACACCAAGGGGAAAAGACGCTGGATTCAAACAAGCTGCTTCCTTCTGTGACCTGACCACCAGCTGGCCTCTAGAAGGTTCCCTCAAGTGGGCAGCCTTGCATAAGGCAGTCATGTTAGGAGCAAAGCCAACCACAGGATTTGTGAGCTCACACCTGTTCTCTCTCTCTCTGTCCTGGGGATGGGAAGAGAAGACAGGTTCTCTGCTGCTCGGATTAGGGCAGCTGGAGTTTGGAGAGGGAAAGGGCCTCGGTAGTTTCCCTGACCTGAGAGCCCAGATCCCCTGTAGCCAGGCTACCTGAGGGTCCTATCAGACACAGAAATCCTCAAGTCCTATGCTTTAAATTACATAAGTGCATACTAAGTGAATAAATAGCCACTGACTGTTCACACACTCTATTTCAGTCGTTTGCACCAAATTAGAACATTTGAGTCCCTTGGAATCTAACTCAAGCTTAACTTAGGGGAGACTATTCTAAAGTAAAAATAAATAAAATTTTAAAATGTGACAGTTTCTTAGGTCTTTGATGTTGTTATCTATCTTGAGATTTTTAAAAATAAATATTAAAGGTCTATGTAGCAAATGGTTTAATTTTATTTATCCCCTGAGTGTTAGATAATTAGCTTCTACTGCTCATCCTCACAAATAGATTCCAAACTAATTAGAAAGCCTAATGTGAAAATTATAATAAAATGAATCCTAGAAGGAAACCTAAGAGAATATTTTATAATTTGAGATAGTGAGATATAAAACCCAGAAAGCATATGGGAAATGAGTTACAGATTTGACTACACAGAAATTTTAAACTGTAAAATAAAAGGCACTGTAAACAAAGACGGAGAGGAAATATTTCCAGCAAATACAACAGAATTCATACCCACAGTAAGTGAAACCCACGCAAATCAACAGTAAAATACAGCCAGGCGTACTGGCATATGCCTGTAATCCCAGCACTCAGGAGGCTGAGGCAGGAGGACCACCATGAGTTCAAGGCCAGCCTGGACTACACAGTGAGACTCTGTCTTAAAAATAAAAACAAAACTCAGGAAAACGCAAGCCACTTAACAATAAATATGTGAAGAATTTTTACAGAGAATTCACAAATACCAGTTGATCAAGTTGAAAGAACACTGCTCCTGGCAGATTTATACCCAACAGAAATATGTGCACATGTATACTGAATGCATGCGCAAGACTCAAGCAACATTATCAGCTAATAGCTAAAAGTTGGAAACAACCCAGATGTCCATCAGTAAATAGATTGCAGCCTATTCACATAATGGGCTATAATAAGCAAGTGAATTAATATATTACAGCTATACACAAGGATATGAATGACTCATAAACATTATGCTGAATGAAAGGAGCCAGATGCTGTCCACATTTATGATGCCACTACTATAATGGCCAAAACCAGACATGACTAACCTGTAGGGGTCAGAGGTCAGGGTAGTGATTTCCTTGGAGAGGCAGAAGAAGATCCAAGGCTGCTCTCTTTCTCGATCTGTGTGCTAGTTATGAGCAAGAATTCACTTGAGGAAAAATAATCAATTTATTGAGCAATGCACTCAAGATTTGTACGTTTTCTCTGTTTTTGTGCCTCAAGAAGAAAACTTCCCTAGAAACCCAAAGTACCAACAGGTATATAAGATGCACAGCCCTGTGGGTAAATCAGGACGATAATTTAAAATGACAATTTTTTTTCCTGTACGTGATGCTGGCAATATATGTATTTTAAAAACGATAATGTCCCATGTTGATGAGTATAATGGTGACTATATAAATTAGTACAGAATTTTTGGAGAGAAACTTGGCTTTATTAAAACTTTAACTGTAGCTGGGCATGGTGGTGCACGTCTGTAATTCCAGCACTCGGGAAGCTGAGGCAGGACGATCACCTCGAGTTCATGGCCAGCCTGAATTACATAGCAAGACCCTATCTCAAAAGAAAAAAAAAAAAAAAAAAAAAGCCGGGAGTGGTGGCTCATGCCTGTAATCCCAGCACTCAGCTGAGGCAGGACAATCGTGAATGCAAGACCAGCCTCGACCAGCGTCGGCTACAAAGTGAGCTCAAGGCCAGCCTACACTGCATAAGAGACCTTGTCTCAAAAAGACCCAAAAAAGTAACTGTATATGTTCTATCCAGAAATTCCACTTCTAGACATACATTCTTTAGAAACTCTGCACACACCCATGCACATAAATTTGGGTGTAAGAATGTTCACTGCAGTTGGATATAGTGGTACACGCCTGTGGAGGTGGAGATAGGATTGCCCGGAGTTCGAGGCCAGCCTGGGGTACATAGTGAGTTCTAGATCAGCCTGAACTCTATAGAGAGACCCTGTCGCCAAACACGAAAAGCAAAACACACAAAAGTAAAAGAGAATGTTTGTTTCCAGCATTATTTGTTATGAGAAACTGACAGCCACTCATTCCCTTTGCTAGACACAGTGGATGCCTCAATGCAGAGAGAAGAGCGTATGTGCACCCACACAGAGAGGTATAGTGAGTGTTTAGAAACGCAGCCTGGAAGCAGAACAGGTTGTGTGAGCTTCCCCTCCAAAAACGTTGGCGTCCCAGCCTCAGCCCGGAGCCTGCAAGAAGGTTATGCCAGCAGCGCTGTCCGGGTCACTAACCTGCCCCGGGGGGCGGTGGGCCAGGGCTCCCAGGTCCCAGCCCAGACCACAGCGTCCCCTCCGGGAAGCCGGAAGCTACACGCCGGGCTGGCTGGGCTGGCGGGGAGCATCGGTAGCCCTCGCCTTCCTCCTAGCTGAGCAGAGCACAGCCTCCACCTCCGTGCAGTGTTTGTGTCCCAGGATCCTCGGAAGCAGACAGGAGAGGCCCTCTCAGTGGCTCACGGTACAATAAAAGAAACAGGAGGGACCTTTCCTTCCTCCCTCCCCTCCCCTCTCTCTCCCCTCCCCCCTCCCCTCCCCCTTCCCTCCTCCCCTCCCCTTTCTCTTCCCCTCCCCCTTCCTCAGTCTTTTTCTTTTCTTCTTCCTCTCTCTTCTTTTTTCTCTCTCTTCTCCCTTTTTCTCTCTACTGTATTTTTTTAGTGTGTGTTTGCAGTCTGTAATGTTTCCACTCCTACTCGGAGTTGAAGCCTGGACACAGCCCGTCTTAACACCCCCCCACCCCACATCTTTGGGTCCCCTTCCCACTTGAGAAGGAGCCTCCTCCTTCCTATTTATTTTGCTCTTTATTTATATTTTGAGTTTCTCCTATAAGAGATATCATGTGATGTGCAAGTCAGTGAATCTGCTTTATTTCTCTTAACGTTATGGCCCCAAGGTGCATCTATTTTTCCTAGAGATGCCTTAAGGTTATTCTTCTCCATGGCAGGGTGGTACTCCGTTGTGTATAAATACATTTTTTTCAAATCCATTTTATTCAAATATAAAAAGAAATTTTAAAAAAGAAAAACTACAACAAAACTTTAAAGGTCATCAGTCGGGGTAGCAATGGTACACACATTGCACATTGTCACCCCACATTTTATCTGACATCTGTCGATGGACACACAGGCTGCTTCCCCAAGGTTTAGCTATCATGAATTGTAGCCGTAACTATGGATATGCATGTATCACTGCAACATTTTTAAATGGCTGGTGACTGGAGCAATGGTTCCCAGACTGAGTTTGAAAGGTAAAGAAGCATTAAAATGTCAGAGAGACCGGCAGAGGATCGCTCATTTTTATTGGCCAAACCCAGACATTTAAAATGCAGCCTGAACTATGATCACCGGCATTTTACAAAGGAGTGGGCACCTTGACACCAGAGCAATGTAATCGTGACAACGTCAGATTTAAGAATAGCACTTCAGCTTAATACACTTAGATGTACAAAAGACACCTGTCCTTCACAGGGTACACTGGCGCCAGTCCCTTGGAAAGAGGTGGCAAGATCTAAAGCCCACTTCTGCATCTGGCTATGTCTGAGAAAATAGGGAGACTCTTTTTAAATTACAGGTGCCAGGTTCCCACCCCATATTGTATTGGCCCATCAGTGCTAAGGGTGAAGCCTCCAAGTCATTGGTTTGGTCTGCAGTTCTGGGGATTGACCCCAGGGCCTTTGCATGGGGTGACATGTCCAGCCCTTTCTTAGTTTTTATTTTTGAAACAGGGTCTCTCTACATAGCTAAATTGCCCAGGCTAGGCTCAATCTTGCTGTCTTCCTGCCTCAGCCTTCCAGAGTGCTGAGACTACAGGTGAGCATACCCATACTCAGCTGGAATGTGCTTTTTAGCAGACTTTTACTATGGCAAAATTTACATAATATAAAATTTACTGTTGTAACCAGCTCTAAATATATGACCCAGTAGTACATTTGCAGTGTTGGGCATTTATTACCATCATGTTTCTAGAATTTCATCAGTCTCAAACAGAAACTTTATTCCAGTTAAACAGTAACCCTCCAGTTCCTGGTTTTGTGTTTTGTTTTTCTCTTCCTTTATTTTTCTTTTCTTCTTCTTTTTTAAAAATTTTTACCGTTGTGTAAATTAGTATATGTTCACATTCCTTGTGTGGAGTTGGACTTAACACCTCTTAGAGACTTTTTGTCTCTGTAAGTTTGCCAGTTTTAGGTCCCTCCTATAACTTCTTTGTTCTTTTTCCCTGGTTTATTTCATTTTTCATAAACCATTTGCAACTCCTCCAGGCTGTAGCATGGTACAGGATTTCATTTCTTTGTTTTCACTGTAAGTATTTAACCCATCCATTTGCTGGGCTGTCACCACTAATGCTGCCGTAAACATGGCTGGACACTGTTGAGTTCCTGTCTGCAGCTTTTCTGAATGCCTAGGAGAGTTGCTAGATTATATGGTGATGCTGTGTTTAACCTTTTGAGGAAATACCAAGCATTTTCCACAGCAACTTCACCATTTTTACACCCCCATACCCATGTCCAAGGGTTCCAGTGTGTCCTGACCCTCACCAACACCTGTTATGTCCTGATATTGTTTTATAATGACTATTCTAACGTAAGCCTTGAAATCAGAAGTATGAGAACTCCAATTTTGTTCTTTTGAAGATTATTTTGGTTATTTAGGACTCTGAGATTCTTTATAAATTTTAGAATGAGTTTTTGTTATTTTTGTTTTTGAAGAAAAAAATGCCACTGTAATTTTGTTTAAGATTCTGTTGAATATGCAAATTGGGTTGGATAGTATTTTAGGGAGCATTTGAGGGGCTTCCATCTTAATACCAACTCATTCAGTCCATATGCAGAGTGTCTTTCCGGGTGTTTATATCTTCTTTAATTTCTCTCAGTAATGTTTAGTAGTCTTCAGGGTAGAAGTCTGTAACCTCCTTAGTTAAATTTATTCCTAGGTGTTAAGAACAATTTTCTTTTTTTTTTTTTTTCTTTTTGTTTTTTTTTGTTTTTTTCCTTTTTATCGGTACCAGGGATCGAACTCACGACCGCCTGCTTGCAAGGCAGGTGCTTATGCCGCTGAGCTAAACCCCCAGCCCCAAGAACAATTTTCTTAACATCGCTGAGCTTTTTCACTGCTGGTATGGAGAAATGTAGCTTATTATGTGTATTGATTTTAGAGCCTACAATTTTGCCAGATTCATTTTTAGCACTGTTTTGGGTTTTGCTTATTTGTTTTTTTGGTTTGATTTGGTTTTGGGTGCAGTACTACGGATTGAACCTGCCAGTGCTCTGTAATTGAGCTACATCTCTAGCTCTTATTTTATTTTATTTCATTTTATTTTTTTACACTTCAGCTCTTTTAACTTTTATTTTGAAATAAGGCTTCCCTAAATTACCTAGTCTGGCCTAGAACTTTATTTTTTCTTTCCATATTTATTTATTTTTGTTTATTTTAAGACAGAGTCTTACAATTAGAACTCCACAATTAAATAAATTAAATAAAAGTTCCACAATTAGAACTCAAACTTTGGATCTTCCTTGAGTGCTGGAATCATAGATGTGTGCCACTGTATGTGGCTTCTAGTTCTTTTTTTCTTCTTCCTCCTCCTCCTCCTTTTCCTCTGTGGTATCTTTAGTTATCTACATATAAGATCATGCCATATTCAAACAGAAATAATACTTATTTTTCTAACGTGACACCTCCTCTGTCTATTGCTTGCTTATGCTGCTGCCAGCACTGTGTGGGTGAAAGTGGGCATCTTGTCCCTCTGCTGATTTTAGTCAAGTTTTTAGTCTCTCACCATTCAGTAACGTTAACTGGGGGGTTTTCATACATAATCTTTACCATGAGAGGAAATTTCTCTCTACTCCTAGCTTACTGAGTGTTTTGTACTATGAATAATTGTATCAACAGAGATGATCGTGTTATTTTCCCCTTCATGCTATTTATTAATGGGAAATATTTTGCACTTGATTGATTGATTGTCATATATTAAACCATCCTTGCTTTTTAGGAATAAATCCCACTTGATCATGGAATA